TTATAAACTACTTTTGCTGAGAAGTTGCTGTGTTTCTTAGAGCAATGGTAATTTTTTCCTCTCCTGGCTGACTTCTCACTAAGTGGGACTTACTGGCAAATATCTCTTGCGTTTGTGTGGCACTTTGTCACAAAGCTGCTGTCCCTGCACAGCTGTCGTCACTTGGGTGGAGACATTTTGGTTGTGACTTTCCTTTTGGAATGCACCCTTTCCTTTCTCTATGACAGGCACACTGCCCTGCTGCTTCCAGAACCATAGGTTCTTCACCTGGCATTTCACAGCTGCAGTTCTCAGGGTGTGTGCTAGAATCACCTGAGAGGTTAAAGGGCGCCTGATTCCTGCCCCTCCTACACCTGTTCTGATCAGGAATCTGTTTTTAACAAGAATGATGCCCAGATAAATCTAATGCAGCTGGCCTAGGGTGCACACTTTTATAAACTATTCTGGGTATTCCAGCATCCCTTACTGGCCTTTCTTCATTTAGATTCCTTTGCGTAACTCCTAGAGAAGGATATTGACCCAGATGGGTCAGGTATCTTCCCTCTCCTACCAAGTGGCAGCTGCTGCAAGCACCACAAAATGTAACGAGAGGTGTTCCAAGGAAAGGGGTGCTGAACATAACCTCATTTTCTTCAGCTCTGCATTGTCTCATGCCTGTTACAAGTACCTGTGTTGCTTTCTGTTGCCGGCTGTACTAGTAACTCCAGGAAGACTAAGGCTGCTTCTCCCTAAAGTACCTAGTACAGGCTAAGTACCATTTATTGAAATTCATGGGACCAGAAGCATTTCAAATTTTAGGTTATTTTTTTATTTTGGAATATTTACCTATGTATAATGAAATATCTTGGGGCTGAAACCCAAGTGTTAACATATTTTTTATATACACCTTATACACATAACCTAAATGTAACTTTATACAGTATCTACAGTATATTTATGTTTTGACTGCAAATTATCACATGAAGTTGGGTGTTAAAATTTGCACTTACAGTGTCATGTTGGCTTTCAAAAAATTTGGATTTTCAATTATTTTAGATCAGATTTTTGTATTATAGATACTCAGCCTATTCTGGAATTTGGACAGAGATAGACAAATATACATTTCTTTTATATTTTTAACCATTTTTCTTTATAAAAAGTTACATATGTACAGCGTTAACATGCAAACAATACTAAAAGTTATACAGTAAAAATTCAGTCTTCTTTCCAGCTCTGACTTTAAGGCTCTGTCCCTCTTAAGGGAACCCATTCATTTCTTTATTTTATTTTATTTTTTTTTTCAGAACCGGGGATTGAACTCAGGCCCTTGAGCTTGCCAGGGAAGCACTTATTCCACTGAGCCATCTCCCCGGCCCTTTTTCATTTCTTTAATGAAGCTCAAGTTTTATATAATTTTATGATGTCACTTGAAATGGACTTTTTTTTTTTTCATTTTTATATTGGACAGTTTTTATTGTTATATTCAGTTATGTTTGTAAATAATTCATTTTCAATTTGCAATCTATTAAAAATTTAAAAAAATAAAAATAAAATAAGTTAAAACAAAAAAAAAAAAAGAAAGAAAGCATTAATGGGGAAAAATATGCCATGTAAAAGAGACTTTGTTAGGACTTGCTGTGCAGCCTAAGAGGCACTGTTGCATAGGCTGACCCACGAGGGTATGATGATTATCTAGGAAAGAAAGGCAGGCTTTTGCATGTGCAGCATCAGACTCATCTGTTGGGTCATAGGTGGAATATTTGGTCATATTCCAAACCCAATTTGGATTTGGGGTGCTCCTCGTGGACCTGATTGAGGATGGCTACAGAAGAGCAGAATCATCCAGAGAGCCTGTAGGGTGAGGTCGTCTGTAGTGGTCGTATGATTGAAGCCTGCAGCTGCTGAAGCAGATGTCTTGTAGAGTGGCTGTGAGATATCTGCCATAGTCGTGTCCACCTGCAAGGCATTTGGGGCAGCCGTGAAAGAATGAAAAAAATAAAAGTATCTGCCAGAAGATGTGGGCCTTTCGTTTTGTACATCTTGACAATGTAGAAATGACAGTTCAGCACTGAAGAAATGAGGCGGCAAGCTGTGGTGGATCTTTAAATGCATATTATTAAGTGAAAGACGTCACTTGGAAAAGGCTACATTCTGTGTGGTTTCAGTCAATATAATATTCTGAGAAAGACAACTAGGAAAGCAGGGAAAAGATCAGTGGTTGGAGAGAGTATTTTTTCATATGTTTTAATCATTGGTGATACTTAAAATTTTTACCATGATAAAATCTTTGAAAAAAGTATTTGTTGAAATAATATTTTGTGTTTTAAAATAGTTAAATAGTTGACCATTGCTCTTAAAGTGTTTAGTTTCTTGTTCTAAAACAAGTATGAATATTGATAAAGAAAAGTTAGATTCTAGAAATGGACTCTTAAGTCTATTCAAATATTCAAGATTTATTGTGAGGGCATCTTTTATTTCTCTTTCCTATGTCTTATCCATGGAAGAATGTTGGGGAATTAGAGAATGAAGGCAAAAAAAGTGAGATTATATGCTATCCTGAGAGGTGAATGCTGGTTTGCACAGTAGCTTCACAGTTCATTCATTGGCTAAGAATATCATTCTTGTATTTAATGCCACTACCACCCCACTATTATGAAGAGAAAAACAAGTGATTTTTTTTTTAAAGTATATATGAATCATTGCTAAAGAAGGCTCAACCCCTGGAGTAAAACTTAAGCGTTCTTTTCTTTTTCAGGAACACGTGACCAGTCGGAAATTATGAAGAATCCATTTGCACACCTGGCTGAGCCCTTGGATCCTGCACAACCAGGAAAGAAATTTTTTAATTTAAAAAAATTGGAGGATTCAAGATATGGTAAGTGCGTGGCTCTGTGATGTAAAGCTGTGGTAGCAATAAAAATTAGATTCCAGGGGCTGGTGAGATGGCTCAGTGGTCTAAAGCACCTACTTAGAACAAGCTTAGAAAAGCACAGGGACCGCGGTTCAATCCCCTAGCACCACATGTCAACCAGCCCTGCCCCCTGGTGGGCTGAGCTGGCCACCCACCCACACCCACACCCACACCCACACACCACACACCACACACACAAATAAATAAAATTTAAAAATAAATAAATAAAATGGTTTAAAGAAAAAAAATAAAATTAGATTCCAATGACGTAGTACTTAAGCAGTGGGATTAATTAGCCTTTAGGAGCGATGGAGGAGGGAGTAACAAGTAACAGGTTAATGTTCTTGGAATAAATGCACACACACACACACCACCCATATCTTCTATTTGTTTCTGTTGTTTTGAATAGATAATGATGGTATGTTCATGATCATTTATATAACATAATAGACTATGCAGTATTTGTACATATTTCATGAGAATAATAATCATAGGGATTCTGTTTATAAAATAAAAGAAGTCTTTATGAAGTTGAGTCCCAGAATGACACATGCTCAGGTACTATTCATGTGGGCAGCAGAAAAGGACAAGAATGCAAGTCTCACTTATTCTTGTTTATATTCTACCTTTACTATCTTCCATGTAAACATGGGACTTTTATAAATAAACACAATAGGCTTTTTTAGGAATTATTATTCAGGGGCCGGGGAGATAGCTCAGTAGAGTAAGTACCTGCCTGGCAAGTACAGGGTCCTGAGTTCAATCCCTGGTACCACCAAAAAAAAAAGGAATTATTATTGTCTTAGAAACCAGCTACCATGTAACCATGCTTCATGATGTTTATGATTTTATTTCCTTAAAATGTGTGTGTACCTGTGGGCTTAACTATAATAATTGTAAAGCATTATCATGTCTTAAGCATTGGTTTTCAAAAGAAATACTACTCTGTGTGTATATGCTATAAAAATATGTATTACCTGGTAACATAATTCAGTGAATAAGTTAATTGATAGTGTGATGTGAGGACTTAGGGGAGACTTTCTGTTCTTGAAATTCAAAGCAAGCCAACCATGTAATATGAAAAAAAAATAAGCTGTATTAGTTTATTTTTACCTGGTCTATATTTTCTGCCATGGAATGTCTCTTTAGCCTATTCAGTATTCTTATAAACTGTCAGTTATTTTTGCATCTTCATCTGTTGGAAGAATAATCTGATGCCTTGTATCTAGTTTATATACATACTGACTTTAAAGAGATCTTGTATAATAAAGTATCCCTTGTTTTTTGTTCGTTTTTATAATGCTTTTCTCCTTTATTCTCAGAACACTTACCCTATTCTGTCCGAGTTCTCCTGGAGGCAGCCATTCGGAACTGTGATGAGTTTTTGGTCAAGAAAAATGACATTGAAAATATCCTAAATTGGAATGTCATGCAGCATAAGAATGGTGGATCTTTAAATGCATATTATTAAGTGAAAGACGTCACTTGGAAAAGGCTACATTCTGTGTGGTTTCAGTCAATATAATATTCTGAGAAAGACAACTAGGAAAGCAGGGAAAAGATCAGTGGTTGGAGAGAGTATTTTTTCATATTTTTTAATCATTGGTGATACTTAAAATTTTTACCATGATAAAATCTTTGAAAAAAGTATTTGTTGAAATAATATTTTGTGTTTTAAAATAGTTAAATAGTTGACCATTGCTCTTAAAATGTTTAGTTTCTTGTTCTAAAACAAGTATGAATATTGATAAAGAAAAGTTAGATTCTAGAAATGGACTCTTAAGTCTATTCAAATATTCAAGATTTATTGTGAGGGCATCTTTTATTTCTCTTTCCTATGTCTTATCCATGGAAGAATGTTGGGGAATTAGAGAATGAAGGCAAAAAAAGTGAGATTATATGCTATCCTGAGAGGTGAATGCTGGTTTGCACAGTAGCTTCACAGTTCATTCATTGGCTAAGAATATCATTCTTGTATTTAATGCCACTACCACCCCACTATTATGAAGAGAAAAACAAGTGATTTTTTTTTTAAAGTATATATGAATCATTGCTAAAGAAGGCTCAACCCCTGGAGTAAAACTTAAGCGTTCTTTTCTTTTTCAGGAACACGTGACCAGTCGGAAATTATGAAGAATCCATTTGCACACCTGGCTGAGCCCTTGGATCCTGCACAACCAGGAAAGAAATTTTTTAATTTAAAAAAATTGGAGGATTCAAGATATGAACACTTACCCTATTCTGTCCGAGTTCTCCTGGAGGCAGCCATTCGGAACTGTGATGAGTTTTTGGTCAAGAAAAATGACATTGAAAATATCCTAAATTGGAATGTCATGCAGCATAAGAATATAGAAGTGCCATTTAAACCTGCCCGTGTCATTTTGCAAGACTTTACGGGTGTGCCAGCTGTGGTTGACTTTGCTGCAATGCGTGATGCAGTGAAGAAGTTAGGAGGCAACCCCGAGAAAATAAACCCCATCTGTCCTGCTGATCTTGTCATTGATCATTCCATCCAGGTCGATTTCAGCAGAAGGTGGGGAAGAATTAAGATGAATTCCTAAGTCTTTTGCAAAATCTGGGAATGTACATTTTTTTCCTGTGTATATGTACTTAAAAGAAAATCTTTAAAATCTATCAGTAAAATTCAAATTTAATACAGAGTTTCTAATGAATATTTTTTTAGAGGAATGTTGTCTCTAAAACATCTCTTTTACTTGTATGTTTACTTGTGTGGTGGGATTGAATCAGCTACAAATCTGAATGAAAGTATACACATTAAGTTTTGCAATAGAAGCTTGCCCATACACGTGCATGTTTGACTTTAATAGAGTTAGGTTATTTTGCATTCCCTGGAGCTTTATTCCTATTTTGATCCCAAGTGACTGTTTCTTACTTGGCTGTCCATGACTTTCCATATGTTTCCAAAATGCTTGTCCTTTTCCATTGTTTCTTCTGTTGCTGGAGTAGCTTTTTCCTCTCTTCTCTTCATGAAGTTGCCACTACCTTGTGTATCTTTTATTGCCAGTTTAAATCCTTTTATGTTAAGATTCCCTCACTCTCTACCCAGCATCAAGTTCCATGAAGCTTAGCTTGCTGGACTATTTGTGGTGAGCCTGTAGTCCTTGGAGGGAAAGTGTCACTTGAGTTGCCATGGTAGGTAGGCTGTTGTTTCCCCAAAAGCAAAAGCTGGGCATGTAATCAGCATTTAACACATACTATACTAGATGGCCTTAAAGTTACCAATGCTGAGCATGTAATCAGCACTTAATACATACTACACTAGGTGGCCTTAAAGTTACCTTTGGCTTCAATAAGAACTTTGAAGCTAAATAAAAGAACACGTAGAAAATTTCAGATCTCTTACAGATGTTTGAGTTTATCCTTTGAAACCTGTCATTTCATCAAAGGTGGCGGTATTAAAATGTCTTAGTAAAGAAAGCCTTGTACAAAAGAGGAAATTGAATATTTGAATTTTTAGTTGTAAACTAGAAATTTGGGTGTGATCTCTTAATAAACCTTTAACTACTTAAGCACATTATATGTAGCATTGGTAGTGCTAGCTCATTGACAAGATAACTGTCTAAAATCTGTGAGACTAAGAGTCGGGTAGTACTGGTTAGTTTTTCTGACCCAGTTTATTTTCATGAGATTGAATACCTCAATCTCATTCTCCAAAAGACTTTGTTTTAACTTGAAAGTATTGAGAGTGAATCTTTGGGTTAAAGTAGCTTTAGGAGGTAAAACACCATTGTATATTCCCTGTCTCCTATAAGATACACAAAAAGGCATATAAAATATTAAGAAAAATATGCAACAGTTGAATCCAAGTGAAACACTTCAATGATTTGATAGAACTTGAAAGAGTACCCAATGAAATTAAACTTGAGAAAAGAGAAACCAGGAATTAAACTTGAGGAAGTCAGCCTTCTTTGTCCTTTGAATCAAAATGGTATAAACAGTTGGGAATTAGGTAAAGAGCAAACACTGCTATTTGCCTTTTACTACAAAAAGCAGTTTGCACCACCACACTATGAAGACTTCAGGGTAAGGGTAGGCATGGTGGCACACTTGTGTAATCCCAGCATTTTGGAAGGCAGAGGCAGAAAGATTGCAAGTTTGAGTCCAGCCTGGGCAACTTCATAACATAATGAGATTGAGTCTCAAAATAAAAATATAGAAAAATAGGAGGGGCATTGGGGCTGAGGTTATAGCTTAGTGGGAAGGACCTGAGTTCAACCCCAGTATTACGACAGCAACACTAAGTAAAAATCAGCTAACGTATGTCATAATAAAAGGAAATGCAAATGCTAGTATATAAAATTTTTTTAATCTTAGAAGTAATGAAAACTTAAAATAAGTATTTGAGATACTATCTTCTTTTACCAGTATTATTAAGATTAGAAAATAACAATTATGAAAGTGTTGTGAGAGGGACACTTTTATACACTATTAGCACCGTAAATTAGAAATGATAAAAGTGGTATGTAGCAAGATATTAGACATTTCAATATTGCTTGTCTTAGAATTTCTACTTCCAAGCAAACTTTCAGTAGATGTCTAGAATTTAGAAAAAGCTTTGTGGCCAGTATTTTTTTTTTTTTTTTAATGTATTTAGTACAGGGTCTATAGGGTCTCACTACGCAGATCAGACTCATAGTGATCCTCCTGTTTTCAGCCTCCCAAGCACTGGAATTACAGGCGTGTGCCACCATGCCCAGTCTCTGTTTCAGTCTCAGGGCACCCCAGAGGCAGGGCTTGCCTGGCATGCCAGGGATCGAACCTCGTCCCTGCGCATGCCTACACAGGTGTTTTAGTCAGCTGAACTGTCTGACCAACCTGCCAGTAATGTTTATTGAAATCTTATTTGTAAATAAAAACCTAGAAATATTGTAAATGTCCAGTAAAGATTAATGATTTATTATAGCAATGCTGAAAGTGGGCTATTAGGTAATCTTTTAATTATATGTGTAAAGTACTTAATAATCTAGGAATAGGGTTGCACTGTAGCCTAATGTGCCCAATTCTAAATTGCATATAAAGATATCTCAACTAAGTCTAAAGTTGTGCAGGAATGAAAAGATTGAAGAAAGGTGTCCAACTGCAAAACAGCCTATCTCAGTGCCCAATCTTTAGTTTTTTAGTATAAAAAGATATTATTTCAGTATTTACCTATTTGTTCATTTATTTTGTGACACTGCGAGCATCACACACTTTATAGATTGAGCCACCCTTGAAAAAGCCCTATCTCTGACTGTATAAGGCTTTGGGGGACAGCTAGACACAGCCATAACACTGGAACTGACAGTAGCAACCTTATTGTTGGCTCTTCACTTCTCTTTCTGTCACCAGCTTCTGAGTCCCAGACAGGCGAGGCTGTGCCCCTTTATATACCATTGTGTCCCAGTGGTGGGCTCTCAGTGGACTAATTAGTACATGAGGGAAGGGCTGCAGTAGAGATCCAGGGCCAATCAGACCTGGGTTCAGATGGCAGCTCTAATTTATCAGACCTCTGGTGTTGGATGAATTAGCTAGCATTTCTGTACCTCAGCTGCTGTTTCTGTAGGTTGGGGTGAAGATCACAGGAGTCTATGAGATGGTTGTGGTGATAGAGGGGGATCATGTGTGTAAAGGCCCAGAGCCTTGAGCAGATGTGCACTGGAGCTCCGGCTGGTACTCCTACTGTAGAAGTGCTTGTTGTTACTGCCAGTACCTTTACAGCAGCAGTCATGTAACTGCCCCTGTGGGATGGCAGTGTGCACTAGGGAGTAAGAATATAAAAGTTGAGCTAGGGCTGGTGAGATGGCTCAGTGGTCTAAAGCACCTACTTAGAACAAGCTTAGGAAAGCACAGGGACCGCGGTTCAAACCCCCAGCACCACATGCCAGCCAGCCCCGCCCCCTGGTAGGCTGAGCTGGCCACACACACACACACACACACACACACATACACACACACAAAATTAAATAAAAAAAGTTGAGCTAGACTGTTTCAGTTCCATTCTCACCATTTACTGCCCATGCTCAGCAAGTTTCTTAACCTCTCTGTGTCTCATTTTCCTCATTTGAAAAAAGTGGAGCCATGCATGGTGGTACTCACCTGTAACCCTAACACTTAGGAGGAGGCTGAGGCAGGAAGATACACAAGTTCGAGGCCAGCCTGGGCTAAATAGTTCACGGCAAGCCTGGATATAGAGTGAGGCCCTGTCTCAAGAAAAGGAAAACAAAAAAAGTACATATAAGCTATACCTGACTCAGAGCATTTTGATGGAGACTATTTGAGAAAATTAAAGCATTTAGAATAGTGGCTGGTTTCTAATGTCAATAAATACTAACGATTGTATCAATTAATGAAATCTAACTTGGATCTTAGCTCTTAATTTTATTATCTTTAATCCATGATATACAAATTATGAGAGCTCTTACTGTACTAAACCCATAGAATTGTGACTATGACATACTCTATCATGACAGAATGGTACAATTGATTATAAAATTCCTGGAAAATCACCTTGATGTCCTCATTGCTAGTGTCTGGACTGAGGTATCTTGATTAAACCTCAGTGCATAGTTTAGGGCTTATACCTGTTCTCAGGTAGCACTATCTGTGACTCTGTGACCAAGGCCCTTGGCATTGCCAGTTCACCATCTCCCAAAATAAATAGGTAAAAATGCCACCCAGACATGGCTTTGCTTGGAGAAGTGACAAGACTGTAGATGAGACGGGGATACAGAAGCAGGGTTCCATAAATATCTGAGCTGCTTTTGTAGTGTTTTATATTTGTTCCTCAAGTCAGATTATATGATTTATTTTGACTTGAGATCAGCTTTTTTTCAGCTTTTTGTTCTTGGATCTTACAATGCTTAATGGCATTGTAAGAATCACTTGAATCAAATAATAATGCTGTTTACTTTTTCTATTCACTCTCCCTCTCCAGATTGTAATAGTGAAATTTCTAATACCACCTAGCAAGCCTGCAGGTGCAATTTTCATTTTGTTTACTAGTCACCAGTAAAATTGACCAGTAATATTTTAAGACTCGACTTTGTACATTTAGTTTTTCTCTTGGACAGGGTAGACAGCTTACAGAAGAATCAAGACCTGGAATTTGAGAGGAATAGAGAACGATTTGAGTTTTTGAAGGTATGAGCCATGTTTCTGGTTCTTTGTATGTGGGGCTCCAAGAAGGAGGTATTCAGGGGATGGGCTGGGCAGAAGTATATAAATATTGATGGTACTCTTTCTATTGTCCAACCCTAGTGGGGTTCCCAGGCTTTTCGCAACATGCGGATTATTCCCCCTGGCTCAGGAATCATCCACCAGGTGAACTTGGAGTATTTGGCAAGAGTGGTA